CCCCGCCTCCACCCTCCCGCCGGGTTCCCGGACTCTGCGCTCCACTGCCCCTCCCGACACACACGCGGCTGTTTGTTTTTGTTAGGTTTGTCAATGTTGCCTTTGTTCCAGAGATTGTGTCATCGCCTGGATGCTGGGAATAAAGTGCGACCCTGTGTGTGATGAAATGTGTAACATGTGCGACCGACGCTAAGGGCGCCTCTTGCCCATCAGTTGGTGTAAGGGACATCGGGCCTGCGAGGCAGTTGGCTGTGTGTTTGCGTGTATGTCAACACGAGTGTGTACCGTGCTAGTGGGCTTTTGAATATGAACTGAGAATCTGGGCATGAAGGGTGACAAACTGTAACCACACATGTGCATCTGGAGTGTGTAAATACATTTGATGGCGCGCAAGTGTGAAAACATTTGTGAGTAATATCACAGCTGCGTGTGGGGAAGCATGTGAAACTTTTTGACGTACGTATGCTAATATTTGTGAACAGTGTGTGAAGAGGAGGGAAAACGCGTACGGGCGTGCAATGTGTGTGAGTGTGTTTGTGCAGCGTTCCTGGGCTGGGAAGCTGGGTCTCCCAGTCAGTCGACCCCCAGTACTCAGCCCAGGTCCCCTCCCCCGCGCCGTGTAAACAAACCGGCTGGAATTCGTCTCTCGGGGCTCCTCGCCCCGCCAGGATCTGCTGCTGTCTGGATAGGGGTTGGCAGGCGGTGTCTGCCTCCCAGCTCTGGGGTGGGAGGGCGGGCAGGTGTTTGATTAGACTCGTGTGTGTGCCTGGAGCTGGAGGGACGAAAGCTTTGTGTCTGCGTGTGGTTGTTTGTGTGCGTGTCACGGGTGTTGTGTTTCGGAACCTCTGGCTGACTCTTCCTTGCGGCTGCGCATCGCTGGAGGGTGCGGACCTGAGGCCCCCTGCCGGCTCGGGCCCAGCTTCCCGGGTTCCCAGGCCGTTTCATCCTCCTTTTTTACGGCCAGGCCTGGTGACAGCCCCTGTAATTACGCGAGGCCGGGACGCCGCGGCGAGTCCGGCGCTGACCGGGCTGTGGAGGAGCCTGGAGTGGGGGCGGGCTGGGCCGGTTCCCACCCCCAGCGGGGTGCAGGGCTCTGGAGGCTTGACTTGCGGCGCGTAGCATAAATATTTGCAGAGTGCAGGCTGAGTAGTTGGCCGCTTAACCCCGCGGTCCACTTCCCAGTGGGAAAGGCACCACCCTACCCCCACCAGCACCTGCCTCAAGCGACGTGCCCAGCTCGGAGTTTACGAGAGGTGTGGCCCGCCCCTCCCGCCGGGGCCGAAGTCTACCTGCAAGCGGCCCCAGGGCAGCACCTCACGCGTGTTTTGCTAACCTGGAAGACACCTGGGTGTGGACCGCCCACACGCCCCCGACGACCGTACCTCATTCTAGCTCATTTATCCCATGGAAGCTCCATGAGGGCAGGGAATTTTTTTTTTTTTTTTTTAATGTTTTGCTCACTGGTTTTTTGTCAGAGCCAGGCATACAATTTAGCACACAATAGTATTAGGTGATCAATAAATATTTGGTGAGTGAATAGAATCTCTGCCAGTGAACTTTAACTTTTGTTGGGCATGTTGTTGTTGTTAAATGCCGTCGAGTCGGTTCCGACTCATCACGACCCTGTATAGGTTTCTAAGGAGCAGCTGGTGAGCTTGAACAGCTGACCTTGAGATTCAAACCGTCCCTGCAGTCTAGCACATTAGGCGCAGCGCCACACCAGGACTCCACGCTGGGCATAATTACTCTGAAAAGAAACCGGTGTGAGGGGTTAGAAGAGAGGAAAGGGGTGATGGTAGTTCTTTAGAGAGGGTAGCTCAGGATTGTCCCCTGGAGGAGGCCCCGGCGTTGGGATGATTCCGCTGGTTCTTGGACTGCCAGGGATGGGCGGGAACGTGTGGGGTCCCTGGGTTGTATTGCTTAGCCTGGGCAGGTTCGGGCTGGCTCAGCCCAGCCCGGCGGGACCACGTCCGCTCCTGCCGTGCCAGCATCTATGACTGGAGCGAATCAGGTGGAGAGGGGTGAGGAGGAGTTTTTGAGCACAAACGGGACTCCTTCCCTGTTTTGACTTCACTTCAGACTCTGTTGATCCCAACACTCTTCCATTGGAGCTTTCGTGGGTCATTCATCAGACCAAATGGGGCATTTTTATGCGCCTGGAGCTCTGGTGGGCCCGATAATGTAAGGGTGAACTTCAGACAAAATCTCTGCCCTGGAGAACCACCTTTTCCCAACTTGTAGGATAAGCAGACAAAGCCACCAGTTATACAACAAATGTACTAAATGCAATTTACTGCCCAGACAGACTGTCGACACCAGAACACACACTCGGACGGCCCTGGTCTCTCCTAGAGCTGCGACGCCTGGTGGACTCAATGGAGAATTGCAGTTCTTGTGCGATTCAGAGACCAGAGAAGAGACTTCCATGCGCAGACCTGATCTGCGTACCAATTCCACTCCCGCCGCTCCTTCACCTCTACCCCTATCCTTCTCCCGCGGGTCTTGTTTGGATTCTGCTTAGGGCGACCTCTCACCACAAAGATGTGCTCCTGTGTTGGTTTTCAGCACCGCCACCCCCAGGCAAACATCTGTGCTCCGTGGCGGGAACTGTCTGAGGTGTCAGTCTGTCTGTCTGGGAAATTCCCCCCATGAGTACCTTCTGGGAATTTTTGGGGAGCCGGGTTAACCCTTTAAGTGCCCTAGCAGAGGCCTGACTGTGCCCTCCGGAGGTGCTGCCTGACTGGGGATATTGTCCGTCTGGAGGTGGAATTTCCAGTCTGGAACAGGCACTTGATTGTTTCTCCCTTGTTGGGTGTCCTGTGGTTTTGGGGTGGCGAAGGGCCCTGGGGCGCTGTCTTACCTACCTCAGACCTGGAGGGCATCTCTGGGCAATGGGGTGAGGCATCTAGGGAAAGGGTGGATTCTAAGCCTGGGGCAGCCTCTTCACTTGTGCAATGTCATTTTGAAAAATAAAGTGCTTCTCAATTATTAGTAATGTATGTTGTTGTTGTTGTTAAGTGCCATTGAATCAATTTGACCTATAGTGACCCTGTATAAGGTTTCCAAGAGCAGCTGGTGAGCTTGAACTGCCGACCTTGCAGTTCAAATGTATTTGTTGTTGTTGTTGTTGTTAAGTGCCATTGAATCAATTTGACCTATAGTGACCCTGTATAAGGTTTCCAAGAGCAGCTGGTGAGCTTGAACTGCCGACCTTGCAGTTCAAATGTATTTGTTGTTGTTGTTGTTGTTAAGTGCCATCGAGTCATATATTATTGATCATATAATGTTCTCTTTATTAACTGTTGTTGTTGTTAAGTGCTGTGGAGTCGGTTTTGACTCATAGCAACCCAATATAGACTTTCCGAGGAGTGGCTGGTGGATTTGAACCTCCAACCGTAGGATTCCAACCGACTTAGTGGACCAGTGCTTACCATACTGTGCCACACCAGGACACCATATAATATATATGTATGATTATATACCTACCACTCATCTGTCTGTTTGTCCTACTGTGGTATTGCTGGGATTCTGGAAGCTATGCCATTGGTATATTAAATACCAGCAGGGTCACCATGGTGGATACATTTCAGCTGAGCTTCCAGACTAAGACTAGGAAGGAGAGAGGGACTACTTTGGAATATTTAGTCACTGAAATTGAATAACAGTGGAACACTGTCAGGTACCACTAGAATATTGAGTATTGAAACATGATGAAGAGCAGCAGAATATTGTTAGATATAGTGTTAGAAGATGAGGCCCTCACGTTGGAAGGCGCTCAAATTACAGCTAGCGAAGAGCTGTTCCTCAGAGTAGAGTGATGAGGCAAATGGAATAAAGCTTTAGGGACCTTCAACTGGCACAACTTAAAATGAAGAGAAACAGCTGTAAACATCCATGAATAATCGGAATATGGAATGTATGAAATATGAATCTAGGAAAATTGGAAGTTGTCATAAATGAAATAGAACACATAAACATCAATATCCTGAGCTGAAATGGACTGATATTGACCATTTTGAATCTGATAATCACACGGTGTACTATGGTGAGAATGACAAATTGAGGAGGACTGGCATCACATTCATTATCAAAAGAACATTTCAATCATGAAGTACAAAGTTGTCTGTGATAGGATAATATCCATAAGACTACAAAGAAGATAAGCTAATATGATTATTATTAAAATCTACACACCAAGTACTAAAGCCAATGAAGATGAAATTGAAGAATTCTACCAACTTCTTCAGTCTGAAATTGATCAAACATGCAATTGAGATGTATTGATAATTACTGGCAATTGGAATGTAAAGGTTGGAAACACAGAAGAAAGATCAGTAGCTGGAAAATATATCCTTCATAATAGAAATGATGCTGGAGATTGCATGATACAATTGAGCAAGATCAGTGACTTGTTCATTGCAAACACCTTTTTAAAATAACATAAGAGATTACTATACAAATGGACCTCACCAGATAGAC